TCTCACCACATGTTCACATGCTTAAATCCGGATATCAGAATTTAAACCATTCTGAAATGCATGAATGTTTCCTTAATATAGTGATTACAAAGTATCTCAAAAAAAGAGAAAAGGTCATATGGGTCGCAGAATAATGCTCAATAGAATCCGTTTTGTAGTAAAGGCATAGAGGAAAAGCCTGAAGCGAGTATGTGAAAACGTAAATAGCAAAGATTCCGAGTGGCGGGACCACCAGGTCTTCTCGTTTTCTACATGTATTCTCCACATTTTCTGTAAGGACGCGGTAGGTAGGTGGCAGGCTGCACCAGCCACACCCAGCGGTGGCTCCTGCCCTCGCTGATGCCGTCTGTCCCTCCAGCTCTGGCTCCACCTGTCTCAGACCACTTGCTCTAGAATCTGCCCCCTCTCCAGCCCGGCCCTGCACCTGCAAAGACGTCCTGCTTAGCGGGAGACCCCTACCTCACTTCCCTGGGCTTTTCTCTTTCCTCAGCATGGGTTACCATTTTAGCACTTTGCCGTCCACTGTGAATTCTCAACGATTACAATTCTACCTAAACGCCATTACACATGTCCGAGAAAGGAACAGCAATTCTACCTAAACGCCATTACACACGTCCGAGAAAGGAACAGCAATTCCACCTAAACGCCATTACACACGTCCGAGAAAAGAACAGCAATTCTACCTAAACAACATAACACGTCCGAGAAAAGAACAGCAATTCTACCTAAACGCCATTACACACGTCGGAGAAAGGAACAGCAATTCCGCCTAAACGGCATTACACACGTCCGAGAAAAGAACAGCAATTCCGCCTAAACGCCATTACACACGTCCGAGAAAGGAACAGCAATTCCGCCTAAACGCCATTACACACGTCCGAGAAAGGAACAGCAATTCCGCCTAAACGGCATTACACACGTCCGAGAAAAGAACAGCAATTCTGCCTAAACGGCATTACACACGTCCGAGAAAGGAACAGTAATTCCGCCTAAACGGCATTACACACGTCCGAGAAAGGAACAGCAATTCCGCCTAAACGCCATTACACACGTCCGAGAAAAATACAGCAATTCCACCTAAACGCCATTACACACGTCCGAGAAAAGAACAGCAATTCCACCTAAACGCCATTACACGTCCGAGAAAAGAACAGCAATTCCACCTAAACGCCATTACACACGTCCAAGAAAGGAACAGCAATTCCACCTAAACGCCATTACACACATCTGAGAAAAGAGCAATTCCACCTAAACGCCATTACACACGTCCGAGAAAAGAACAGCAATTCCACCTAAACGCCATTACACACATCTGAGAAAAGAGCAATTCCGCCTAAACGCCATTACACACGTCTGAGAAAGGAACAGCAATTCCAGCTAAACGCGATTACACACGTCCGAGAAAGGAACAGCAATTCTACCTAAACGCCATTACACACATCCGAGAAAAGAAGAGCAATTCCGCCTAAATGCCATTACCCGCGTCTGAGAAAACAACTCTATGTTGCGCACCACAGTCTTGTTAAAATTTCTGTGCTGACTGTCAGCACTCGGCCGTGCCAGGTAAAGCAAGTCTTGCTGAAAGCACCACTTAAAAAACAGGATTCACTTTCTGGCAGTTTCAATGACTACAGAACCAACCAGGCAAAAATACTCCTACAGTTAAAAAAAGCTGATACTGTCTTGTGCTGCAATTTTTTTCTTTAAAAAGTGAGGTCGGTGGAAGTTGCAAATGGGATAGAAGTTGGTGTCTGAATGCTTTACAGGTAAGTGGCCTGCTAGAATCACAAGGCTTTGTTTATTTATTTCTTCATTTTTGAGATGGAGTTTCGCTTGTTACCCAGGCTGGAGTGCAATGGCGCCATCTCGGCTCACCGCAACCTCCGCCTCCTGGGTTCAGGCAATTCTCCTGCCTCAGCGTCCTGAGTAGCTGGGATTACTGGCACGCGCCACCATGCCCAGCTAATTTTTTGTATTTTTAGTAGAGACGGGGTTTCACCTTGTTGACCAGGATGGTCTCGATCTCTTGACCTCATGATCCACCCGCCTTGGCCTCCCAAAGTGCTGGGATTATAGGCGTTAGCCACCATGCCCGGCCTTTATTTATTTATTTTTTAAAACACAGAGTTTCACCATATTGGTCAGGCTGGTCTCGAACTCCTGACCTCAAGTGATCCGCCTGCCTCAGCCTCCCAAAGTGCTGGGATTACAGGCGTGAGCCACCGCACCTGGCTCAAGGGGGGTTTTAATGAGAAGCTAATGAGAAACACCACTTTAAAATCTGTAAAGGACAAATCCTGAGTTTACCAACACCCAATATGCTGTGCCCTTATGACACGCTCCTCTCTCTGAGGGCGGGCACCCCTGACTCGCTGGCACCCCTGCCCCTGCTAGCAGCGCATTTCAGACTACCACCCAACAAACAGCTCCTTAGCAACAGCAATGACCGAAGTCACCAGACAAAAATCACCCCTGCATGCCAAATCCTGGTCAGCTGCTCGCTCCTCACTGATGTTTGCCCCAGAAGTCACAACTAAATGTCTTTTTGAGGCAGTAAATTTGGACTGCCGAGTGACCAATGTAGGCCATAAACTCTGCCTCCATGCTTAAAAACTGACGTCACCACTAGGATTTTCTCCAGGACATCGGGGACTGCAATGGGTAATTTTACAATCTCTATAATACCGTGGGTTTCTTTTTGTTCAAACTAAAGAGTAGAGGGCCGGGCGCGGTGGCTCACAAGGTCAAGAGATCGAGACCATCCTGGCCAACATGGTGAAACCCCGTCTCTTAAAAAAAAGACAAACTAAAGAGTAGAATAAAACAAAGCTCGAACAGTGCTAAGAATAAAATAAGAAATTTTAGTGTTTGCTGTTAAAGCTTTGCTTGGAGCCATGAAGAACCTTTCAGTCTATTCAGCCTGCTGTGCAGTCTGAATTGCAGGCTAGGGCATCTAGGAATGCTCAGGGCAGTGAACAGCAAACAGAAAAGGGAGCTTTCCAGGAGGTGTGAGCCAAGGTAATAAGATAGCAGAGAGGGCCCAACAAGGCCAGGCTAGAAAACCATGAGAACACGGCTGGACACCAGGACCAAACTTAATACTAGAGGAGAAGGGAGGCCAGTCATTAATAGACGACTGGTTAATCCCCAGGTAATGACACACAGGGCAAGACACATCTCTGAGCTAAAAAGAGACAAAGGTGAAATCAAAACAGACCGAAGTAAATACAAATTTACAAATTCACCTTCCCTTTTCAGGGCTCAAGGTAGAATGCTGAGTTATTGACAAGATCTCTGTAACAGACCATCCTGTTGTCACTTCAATTTAAGAGCCATGACATTTAAGAGCTCAAGGGAAGGAGGGAACGTTAAGAGCCAGGAAATGCAACAATCCAAAGACTGGTTCAGAGTACAACCACTGTCCCTTAACTCCAGACTCTCTATGATCACTGCACTGTTTAACTATTCGATGAAAGAGTGCTCAGAGGAGATCAAAAGTTACAAGCAGATGGAATAGGAAGGCCGGCCAGCACTGAGTTTGAACTTGAGAGAACCCAGTGGGATCAATAGGTAATGGAGAACAGCCCTTTCTGGTTAAAAGGAAGAGAGCATGTGGAAGCCGTTTAGATGGTGCGTGGGCGGGAATCGCCGTGCGCTTCCCAGAACCTGTAGGGAACAGGAATCGAGATGAGGGTGGCTTTCTGAATTCGCCCTTTGCCTCTCCTTATTCCTGTCTTTCACTCTCCTTTTTGATTCCACATTCAAACATGAATACCAGCAGTCTAGGTTTCTTATGGCTCACTGGACTCTCGCCTTGCCAATTTTCAAATTCTTGTAAATACAACTAACAGTGTTGTCCCTTCCTACAGTGCGATGTGATAAAGTCACTTTTCTTTTTTTCAGAGGTGGGGGTCTTGCTACGTTGCGCAGGCTGGTCTCAAACTCCTGGGCTCAAGTAAATCTCCTGCTTCAGGCTCCCGAGCTAGGCAATGAACTTCTCTTAAGCTATATTACAAATGAAAATGCCCAGTCGGCTCTGGAACGCTGCTTGGAAAACTCTTTCATTACTAATTAGTGGTTGCACCAAACATGCTTTCTTCACCTGACATTCTATCTCAAACTCCCATGTGATGCCCTTTCTCTCATGTGACCTAAACACTTCCCTGCCCTCTGAAAAGACGAATGTCCTCTTTTGCTTTGTGTCTTAGAAGAAATGTGACTACCTACACTCCACAGCAAGGCCTTCACAGCTAAATATTTCATCTCACTAGGGTCACACAGATCCGCGCTCCTTCCTGGACACTTTTTGGGTCCATGCTACATCTCCAGTTAGAAGCAAAACAACAGACAAGCCACAAACTCTCACGTTTTCCTTTTTTTTTTTCGGGGAGATGGAGTCTCGTTCTGTTGCCCAGGCTGGAGTACAGTGGCGCAATCTCAGTTCACTGCAACCTCTGACTTCCGTCCTGCCTCAACCTCGCAAGTAGCTGGGATTACAGGCACGCACCACCATGCCCAGCTAATTTTTTGTATTTTTAGTAGATATGGGGTTTCACCATGTTGACCAGGATAATCTCGATCTCTTGACCTCGTGATCCATCCGCCTTGGCCTCCCAAAGTGCTGGGATTACAGGCTTGAGCCACCGTGCCCAGCCAGTTCAAATTCTCTTTCCATTGCCAGCTCTAAATCCTCCTACCTTTGCATCTGTGAACTGCTACTGTACATATACCTACTGCAGAATGTATTCGCATCTCTAGTAGATTGAATGCGGCCATGCCTACCAGTCCAGGAGATTGTGAAGAACCAAAAAGTGTGGCCTCATGTCTTCTTTTTATAATTCTTTCTCTTTCTAGAAATGGATCTTAAGCACAAGAATGCTCAATAAGCGTCTGGGGTTTAGGGAAAAAAATAAAGGAAAAGAAACAGGCAGGAATGGAAGTACATGCAAAGAATCTGTCTCTTTCATCAGAGAGCTCCTCCTCACTACTCTCACACTCACCTCTTGCTTGATGGGTTTCATGGACAGGTGGTCAGACGTGCACCTAGGATGCAACTCTGCCTTTGTGCGCTGTGGACGCTTTCCCTATAGTTAGAAGTGAAGAAGAGAAAGGAAAAGATAGATTAGGGCGCTCTCAGCTACTGCCGCTGCTGCTGCCGCCAGCAAAAAACTGGCCAGTGAGGTCAGGGCAAAAGGCTTCCTTACGACAATCAGGAAAACCTCTGCTCAGCTGTGTAGGGACATAAGCCAGTTTATTCTCTTGAAAAAATAAAAAACTTGGAGGCAACCAGGTGTCTTTCATAACATCACTGGCAAGAAACTCCCTTAACAGTTAAAAAAAATTATCTTCCCAAATCACAAAGAGAAAGCCATGCTTTATCACCGTCAGCTGAAGGGGCGGCTCTGGGAGGGGCATCAGGAGCAGCTGGAGATGGGCCACGAGGCAAAGGCAGCGCAGTGGCAGCAGTGATAAGTGAGAGCAGCTGCCCAGGAGCAGAAGCCAGGGAGTGAGCAGGGGTGGGGAAAGGGCTCAGTGAGCAGAATGTGAGCGGGCGGAGGAAGTGCACCAGGCCGGAAGGCAGTCCCTGCAGGACATTTCAAAGCAAGAGCATGGAGAACTGTTTGTATCTAGGTAACTACTTTGAAGGCCAAGGCTTATTAGCACATGTCAGTTCTGGAATTCGTGAGGAACAAGCCCCATGGCATCACCAATTGTAATCCACATTTAAAGGTGGCAAGCACAGACCTTCCCTTAAGATAACGTCCGTGGGTTGTGTATAAAAAAGCTGCATTGTCCAGGGTTGGTCCCGGCACCACTCAAAAGGGGTGGTTTATACCACTTGAACATACCACAAAGCCACAGGGGTATGTTTAATGAGTCAGCAACTTTAGAGAGTTTTTCTGTTTCAAAGATAGAATGACTAGCGCCCAATGCAAATACAAACCCAACTATCAAATGCCGTTGTGACCTCCTTTAGGTACTTGTCCCAAAAAACCGACCCCAGCAGTTTCCTGAAGTATGTCTGTAACCTCTTTCTTTTTTCGGATAGGTTCTTGTTCTGTCGCCAAGGATGAAGTGCAGTGGCACAAGCATGACTTTCTGCAGACTCGAACTACTGGCCTCAAGCAATCGGACCACCCTGGACCCCCAAAGCACTGGGATAGCAACTGTTTTCTAAGCCTCAAGACTCTTACAAGATGTCCTCAACTTTGAACACAGTAAAGGAACGGTGAGGGAACTGTCTTCCAAAGAGATGATGCCAGTTTACCAAGACAGAACCCAAACCGCCAATGTCAGTTTCACTTCAAACCTGCCAAATAAGGGAAAAGTCACCAATGAGAAAAACACTATTCGTGACACAGAGGGTGAGTGTTTCCCTCTGTGTGGGATGCACTTTTCCATACCGTTCTTTGTAAATCATCTATACCCTTAGTCAATTTACTGGTTGAGAAATGAATGTTTATAAAGCTGTATATTGTGTAACGTGAGTAACAAACTCCACCAGTATCTACATCCCTTTTATTAAAAAAAGCTTTAAACTGTTATACAGTCATCACAGGAGGACTTACCTTCTCATTATTACTTCCAGGTTTAGAGGACCATCGTGTAATACCTTCCTTCATAAAGATGTAGCAAATCTTCTGACGCTCTTACTGCCTTTATTTTGCTAAAAAATGTGGCTTTAGGTTTCTACCAAGATTTCTATCAATTATCCATTAACATAAATAACAGGAGAACGAGTGGTGTCTTTTGATAGCCAAATACTAGGCTCTGTACATTGACATGGGTTAATTCCCACAAAAACTTCTGTCAAGTGATAGCATTTCATTTTACTAATAAGAAAGCTGAAGTGGACCCCACTTTAAAAACAAATTTAAAAAACTGGGTATGGTAGCGTGTGCCTGTAGTTCCAAGCACCCAAGGAGGCTGAGGCAGGAGGATCATTTGAGCCTAGGAATCCAATGTTACGACGAGCTATGATTATGCTACTGCACTCCAGCCTGGTTAACAGAGTGGGCCCTGTCTCTTAAAAAAAAAAAAAAAAGTTGATGGGAAGACATGAAGAAACAACTTATCTAAGGGACAGGACAGGGCCGGGCACTGCCGTAATTCAGGTGAGTAAAAAGCTCCACACTCTTCCACATGGCATGTTAACCCCTCTTCCATTGCCCCATTTCTGTACTTTCTTTCTTCTTTTTTTTTGAGATGGAGTCTCGCTCTGTGGCCCAGGCTGGAGTGCAGCTGCATTACCGCATCTCACTGCAAACTCCGCCTCCTGGGTTCAAGCGATTCTCCTGCCTCAGCCTCCTGAGTGGCTGAAAATACAGGTGCCCAACACCATGCCTGGCTAATCTTATATTTCTAGTAGAGATGGAATTTCACCATGTTGGCCAAGCTGGTCTTGAACTCCTGACCTCAGCTGATCTGTCCGCCTCGGCCTCCCGGAGTGCTGGCATTACAGGCATGAGCCACCACGCCCGGCCCCAGGACAACATTTCTAAATGCTGCATCTTACTGTTCTTTATTGTGTCACACTGGACAAGACTTCCAAAACATTACCAGTAATACGGTCTCAAACATTACTCTTTCAGTAACAAGATGGCTTTCACGTGTCAGTATTAACAACCTGACAGGCTGATGTGTGTCACTTAACACTGAGGATACATTTTGAGAAACCATTCTTAGGTAATTGTTATGCTGTCAACAATACAGAATTCAAGGACTAGATGATATAGCTTATTATACACCTAGTCTACGGGGTACAGCCTGTGACTCCCAGAGGATATGGCCTCAGTGCTGTCGTCTGCTACACACCTAGGTTATGGAGTGTGCCCTATTGCTCCTAGCTGGTGTAGCCTACTACACACAACTCTAGATGGTACAGCGTGCCACACACCCAGGCTAGAGGATATAGAGCCTATTGCTCCTAGGTGATGCAGCCTACTACATACAATCCTAGCCACACAGTGGTGAAGTACTTGTGTACCTAAACGTACGTAAACAGAAAAGGTACACTAAAAATACAGTAAAAAAGATTTCAGAACTGGCACACCGAGAGAGGGCACTTATGAAGGGAGCTTGCAGTTGCTCTGGTGAGTCAGTGAATGAGTGGCATGAAGGTGACGGTTAGGACACTCCAGTACACTACTTTAGACCTTAGAAACAAAATGCACTTTGGTACACTTTATTGATTGACTGATGGATTGAGACAGAGTTTCACTCTGTTGCCCAGGCTGGAGTGCAATGGCGGGATCTCAGCTCACTGCAACCTCTGCCTCCCAGGTTCAAGAGATTCTCCTGCATCAGTCTTCTGAGTAGCTGGGATTACAGGTGTGTGCCACCACGCCCGGCTAATTTGTTTGTATTTTTTAGTAGAGATGGGGTTTTAGTGTATTAGCCAGGCTAGTCTTGCTCTGAACCTCAGGTGATCCGTATGCCTCGGCCTCACAAAGTGCTGGGATTACAGGTGTGCACCACCGCACCCCGCCAGATTACTACATTCACAACAAGAAATGTAATTGTACCACGTCATAATGGCTATGATGACAGGAATTTTTCAGCTCGATTATAATCTTATGGGACCACAGTGGTATATGGGGTTTTGTCATTGACCAAAATGTGGTTACTTGGGGCATTATTGTATATAGCATGGAATGAGGAGAGTATGTTTGATTTGATCAGGACCGCTGTTCAAAGATACCTATATCAGAACGAACAGAGTAGCTTCCAATTATTTCTTTCATTTTGGAAATGTTTGGAAGTTATCTTTTCCTTAAAGGCTTAGAAAACTTTACCTGTAAATAAATCCAACTCATTCCAGGGCTTTTTTATTTTTATAAAAATAGAGACTGGGCCGGGCGCAGTGGCTCAAGCGTGCAATCCCAGCACTTTGGGAGGCCGAGGCGGGTGGATCACGAGGTCAAGAGATCGAGACCATCCTGGTCAACATGGTGAAACCCTGTCTCTACTAAAAATACAAAAAATTAGCTGGGCGTGGTGGCGCGTGCCTGTAATCCCAGCTACTCAAGACGCTGAGGCAGGAGAATTGCCTGTTCCCAGGAGGCGGAGGTTGCAGTGAGCCAAGATCGCGCCATTGTACTCCAGCCTGGGTAACAAGAGTGAAACTCCGTCTCAAAAAAAAAAAAAAAAAAAAAGAGGCTGGATGCAGTGGCTCACACCTGTAATCCCAGAACTTTGGGAGGCTGAGGTGGGTGGACCACCTGAAGTCAGGAGTTTGAGACTAGTCTAGCCTACCTAGGAAAACGCTGTCTCTACTAAAAATACAAAAAATTAGCAGGGTATGGTGGCAGGTGCTTGCTACTAATCCCAACTACTTGAGAGGCTGAGGCAGGAGAATCGCTTGAGCCCTGGAGGTGGAGGCTGCAGTGAGCCGAGATGGCGCCATTGCACACTAGCCTGGGCAACAAGACGCAAACTCTGTCTCAAATAAAAGAAAGATAGAGACGTGGTATGACGATGTTGTCCAAGCTCCAGGCTGGTCCTGAACTCCTGACCTCCAGCAATCTTCCTGCCTCATTTTCCCAAAGCGTTAGGATTACAGGCAAGAACCATTATGTGCAGCCAGATTCTGGAGCTTTTGATGAGATCCCTCTGTGAAAAACTTCTTCCCTAATTATTAGTCTGCTAAGATTTTCTACTTCCCAATTTAGATTCTTTTTTTCTTTTTTTTGGAAACAGTCTTGCTTTGTTGCCCAGGCTGGAGTGTAATGGCGCGATCTCGGCTCACTGCAACTTCTACCTTCTGGGCTCAAGCAATTCTCCTGCCTCAGCCTCCGGAGTAGCTGGGATTACAGGCACGCCACCACCATGCCCGGCTAATTTTTGTATTTTCAGTAGAGACGGCGTTTCACCATGTTGGCCAGGATGGTCTCAAACTCCTGACTTCAAGTGATCTGCCTGCCTCGGCCTCCCAAAGTGCTGGGATTACAGGCGTCAGCCACCGTGCCCGGCCTAGATTCTTCTTATTATACTGTTCTTCTGGTTAATAGGACTTCACTGACGTTTTTGAACTTAAAAGTACTGTCTATTTCTTTGAAAATATCCAATCCATTATTTCTTTCTGGTTTCCAAATTCACTGTTCTTGAAAATTATATTTAAAGATTACTCCATTTAAGGGCTACCTTAATTTTTAATTTTTCTTCTTTTGATAAGAATCAATGCTTGAATTTTTTAATCAAAACCATCAGTTTTATGCTCTAAGTTTTTCACCCCTTAATTCTTCTATCCCCAAAGTGTTAGGCTGAACACTGCAGTAAGAAAGCAGAAATGACAGAAGGCTGAAGGTGACTGAGTGTAACTGCAGATAACAATGTGCCACGACTGCACATATCAACAGAACCATATGCAAGGTTACGCAAAGTCATAAAACTATCTCTTTACACTAGAGTTGCTTTAAGAAAATTAGGTGATACATTTTAATTCCTAGAAAAACTGTTGGAGTAAATTGCTGATCACAAAACCGGAATGTAATTATTGTACAAGAATTTAAGTTCATTGATGAAAAATGGAGGTTTTCTGGATCATCCATAATGGGGGGAGTCTCGAAGCACTGCTTAGAGTAAGTTCCTGTTATTAGAGAAAGGTAAATTTCTGGGACTTTCCCAAAAGCATCAACCTGCTTAAGGGTTAGACACGTCACCAGATCCACAATAAATTAAATAACACATGTCTGCCTCCCTGTAGACATGATGATTTATAAATGTTTTCTCTTCATATTTCGCTGGCAAGTAGTCATATATTTCTGGCCCTCTATTAACATGTACTAATAATCAGAAATATTATTATTGACATGAAACAAGCAAACTGAATAATTATCAACCAACCACCACAGAAAAGGCAAGACAGGCTCAATGTGGTGGCTGACACCTGTAACCACAGCGCTTGGGAGGCCAAGGTTGGGGGGGCGGGTCACTTGAGGCCAGGAGTCAAGACCAGCCTGGCCAACATGGCAAAACCCCATCTCTACTAAAATGATAAAAAAATTAGCTGGACATGCCAATAGTCCCAGCTGCTTGGGAGGCTGAAGTGAGCTGAGATTGTATCACTGCACTCCAGCCTAGGTGACAGTGAGACTCTGTCTAAAAAAACTGAAACAGGAAAAGGAATGACATTAGGTGTTGTGGCTATTTAAAAGATGAGTAAGCCATGGTCCCTGAGCTGAAGTTTGAACTCACAAAGATATAATCATAAAGAAATACGGAAAGGAACAAAAGTCCTAAAGGCTGGGGGAGATAAGGACAGTTCACGGACATAGTGACATCTGAGTAAGACTTTTGAGAGAGTAGTATTCAAACGGGTAAGGAAGTAGGGGGCCAGGTGCGGTGGCTCACACCTGTAAACCCAGCACCTTGGAAGGTGGAGCAGGAGGAGTGCTTCAGCCCAGGAGGTCAAGACCAGCCTGGGCAACATAGAAAAATTCCATCTATAGATAAAATTGTAAGATTAGCCAGGCACAGTGGCACGGTCCTGCGGTCCCAGCTACTAGAGAGGATCACCTGAGCCTGGGAGGTTGAGGCTGCAGTGAGCTATGATTGTACCACTGTACTCCAGCTTGGGAGACACAGCAAGACCCTGTCTTAAAACAATAAAAGCTGGGCACAGTGGCTCATGTCTATAATCTCAGCACTCTGGGAATCCGAGAGAGGAGGATGGATTGAGGAGTTTGAGACAAGCCTAGGCGGCATAGCAAGACCTTGTCTCTACAAAAAAATAAAAAATAATTAGTTGAGTGTGGTGGCACGAACCTGTGGACCAGCTACTCGGAAGGCTGAGGTGGGAGAGGATCACTTGAGCCTGGGAAGGCAAGGCTGCAGTGAGCTGTGATCGCACCACTGCACGGCAGCCTGGGTGACAAAGTAAAAGAGCTTGTCTTCAAAAATAAATAAATAAATGCCAGATGCAGTGGCTTATACCTGCATGGCTCACGCCTGTAATCCTACCACTTTGGGAAGCTGAGGCGGGTGTTATCGCTTGAGGTCAGGAGTTCTAGACCAGCCTGGCCCAAACAGTGAAACCCTGTCTTTACTAAAAATACAAAAATGAGGCAGGCATGGTAGTGGTGGTGGTGGGTGCCTATAATCCCAGCTACTCGGGAGGCTGAGGCAGGAGAATCACTTGAACCCAAAAGGCAGAGGCTGAAGTGAACAAGATCATGCCAATGCACTCCAGCCTACGAGACAGAGGAAGACTTGAAAAGAAAAAAAGGAAGAAGATGGGGAAGGATGTTTGAAGATGTCACCAAGTAGCATGAACATCCTGACAATATGGGGCATATCGTTTCCGAGACTATAGCTTGCTGTGAATCTGCTGAGGATTCAGGACACAACCAGGCAATGGAGCCACAAGGACCAAGGCAAACCCGTCGGATGTTCTTTCTGTTTTAAAGCATTACGCAGGGGCTCGCGGAACGTTTCCTGAGGAGTGTCTGGGAGAAGGAAAGTGGGTTCCAGCCTGTGAAAAGCCGCTGTCAGAATTGGTAGACACTGAGGACTTCCTGGGGAAGGAGAACATGACGGGACCCACAGTGAAGGACAGGGGGTGGCACGGGTCCCATTCTAACACGGCATTCAGAGCGGATGGAAGCCTGCGCTGTTTCCAGGACAGTGGGGTGTACTGCGAAGGCCTCGCGGAGTCTGACGCACCTTCTGGGCGATCATGCTGCAGATCTCAGGCAGGAAGTCCTCACTGAGGAGCTTGTAGAGCTGCCGCTCCCGAAGGGAGGTCCTCTCGCGGAAACTCTCCGTGACCCGTCTCCATTCTTCTTCCGTTTGGCATAGGAGCCACCAAGTACCCTGGCCCGGCCCTTGGGACCCTAGAAAATAAAGGCATGGATTCACTACAGGAGAGCCTATGAGGGCCTTTTCCTTATTTATTCTCAATTTTGTTTCTACCCTGGGTCATGATTAACACAAGAGAGTCAAAAAAGAGACCTATTACAATTTCTTTTTTGAGACACGGTCTTGCTCTATTGCCCAGGCTAGAGTGCAGTGGTACCATCTCAGTTCACTGTAACCTCTGCCTCCTGGGCTCAAGCCAGCTTCCCATCTTAGCATCCCCAAGTAGCTGGGACTACAGGTGTGCACTAGCACACCCAGCTAATCTTATGAATTTTTAGTCGAGACAGGCTTTTGCCATGTGGTCCAGGCTGGTCTCTTAATTCCTAGCTCAAGGAATCTGCCCGCTTCAGCCTCCCAAAGTGCTGGGATCACAGGTGTGAGCCACTGCGCCTGGCCTTTTTAATTCTGTCTGTCTGTCCCAAAGTGCTGGGATCACAGGTGTGAGCCACTGAGCCTGGCCTTTTTAATTCTGTCTGTCCCAAAGTGCTGGGATCACAGGTGTGAGTCACTGCGCCTGGCCTTTTAAAAATTCTGTCTGTCTCTCTACATCCATCCATCCATCCATCCAGAGATGGAGTCCTGCTCTGTAGTTACAACTAGAGTACAGTGGCGCCATCTCAACTCACTGCAGTCTCTGCCTCCTGGATTTCAGTGATTTTCCTAGCTCAGCCTCCTGAGTAGCTGGAATTACAGGTGCCTGCCACCACACCCAGCTAATTTTCCTATTTTTAGTAGAGATGGGGTTTCACCATGTTGGCCAGGCTGGTCTCGAACCCCTGACCTCAAGTGATCCACCCACCTTGACCTCCCAAAGTGCTGGGATTACAGGCATGAGCCATCCCACAAGGGCCTCTTTTTAATTTAATTTAATTATTATTATTTTAAAAAATTTATTTATTTATTTATTTAAGATGAGGTTTCATCATGTTGGTCAGGCTGGTCTTGAACTCCCTCCCGACCTCAGGTGATCCACCTGCCTTGGCCTCCAAAGTGCTTGGATTGCAGGCGTGAGCCACCACGCCTGGCATCTTTTTAATTTTAAAGTTGACAAATGTATACTTCTGGTTTTCTTGTTAAAGTCAAGGGAAACAACTAAAAAACATGCCTAAAGGCAATACAAATGCAACAACTGTCACTTTAACAAGGTAGATGTTCACAGTCTAGAGACGATTACATTTCCTGACTGAAGAGTTTCGTATTTTGCATTTTGAGTCTTTGTGGAGTCTATCTTGCCTCAACTACACTGTGATACTGCAAACTGCTACCTGCCTCCCCTATATATGCTATTTGGATAACAAAATTAAAATCTAGGTGGGAAACGAGTGTGTAGTAAACCACAAGGAAACCACTGCGTCATGAAACACTGACATTAGAAAGACATCTCTCTGAGAAGCTGGTTATTCACTCCAGCGCTACGGGGTCTATTATAGTGTGCCTAGTAAATGGGGCACTTCTGATCTTAATCCTCAGTCAGATGGTGAGCTGGGTACAAGGTAAGATGTGAGGGAGAGAACTGAAGAACAGTACAAAGTGCAGGTATAAGGCTACTGCAAGAACCTTTACTTCGTGTGACTCTAGAAAAAGATTAAGAGTCAACACCCTGCCATAAACAAATCATGTTTACTTCTTTCTAAATGCCAGCAAAGAACATTACCATGTCTTGTCTGTGGCTCAGATGCCAAGGAGTTTTCTTCCTGCTTTTCACTGAAACACAGGAAAAAGAGGTACCAATTAAAACTAAGACAGGTCCAAAATGGTGCTGTGCTAACCCAGGATGGCACACCCAGTTCATTTAACATAAAGAGCGTCTGCGTGTTAAGGGGACAAGGCTTGGAGGCTGAACTCTGAATTAATGAGCACTAGGATGCAGGCATGCTGGTCTAGAGGGGAAGCTACCCAATGTTATGGCAACAGTATCAATGCATAAGAGAACAGTAACGTTTGTTTCTTTTTTCTTTTTTTTTTTTGAGATTTGCCCAGGCTGGAGTGCAAATCTCGGCTCACTGCAACCTCTGCCTCCCAGATTCAAACAATTCTCCTGCTTCAGCCCCGCCGGGTTGCTGGGATTACAGGCACGCGCCACCACTTTTGGCTAATTTTTGTATTTTTAGTAGAGACAGGGTTTCACCATATTGGCCAGGCTGGTCTCAAACTCCTGACCTTGTGATCCTCCCGCATTGGCCTCTCAAAGTGCTGGGACAAGAAGCATGAGCCACCGCGCCCGGCCAGAAAACAGTAACTTTTAAAACTTTTTTTGGGAAATCAGATGCACTGTTTTTTTGTTTGTTCTTGTTTTTTATCACTGCTCCAGTCAAGGGAGACAGATGCAACTGTTAATTGTTACAAGCAAGGAAAAAGAACTGTAGGGATTCCAGAGTCCTCCCTGATTCAGGCCAGACTGAAGGCATGCCTATTACAACTCAGCCTTGCCTAAGGTAGAGGGATAAGAGCATGGGCTCCCCTGTGGGAACGACTCTATTCAAGCTGTGCCATTTACAATACGACTTCAGAAAAGTTAATTAACTTTCCCCAAAAATGGAGCTATGAATAGTGCCTACCTCACAGGGGCGTGGGAGATTAAATCACAAAATGCAAAGTGTGTAACGCAAGACCAGTTAGAGTCATTTTCACTAGTATCCTTGAAAAAGAAGGGAAACTCTCTGGACTTTTTGCTGGTTTTCAAGTACTTAAGCAGTATCTGATCAATTCAAGTTTCTGTGAGAACGAACATTTTCTGTATTAGCGCTGTCCATATAATACGGTAGCCACAAACCACGTGGCCGCTGAGCACTTGAAATGTGGCTAGTCTGAACGAGAAACTGAATTTTAAATTTAATTTAAAAATATTGAAATACTGGCTTGCACACACAGCGCTAAAGGAACAAATCACCAGCAGAGGGTAGCACAAACCCATGGAATCTTGTTAAAAAGTGATTCTACAATCCCAGCCCTAAGCTACTGTGATTCCTGATACTTACGGGGAAAATGAGACAGGTATCACCCAGGTTCCTGAGTATCGAAGGACGTGTGGAATTAACCAAACCCGGAAACAGGTGTTGCACACACAGAACAGAAGTAATTACAGGGCACTTGCCACGGATAAGGAAGAAACAGTATCTGAAGCTGCACTTCCGCAAGTTAGGCGGATGCTGACTGAGTTCTAAAAAATCAGGTTCTGAGTCATCTATGTTCTTAATCTAATTTCCTAGAATACTTCTTAGTGGTTAAAAAGGAACACAGTGAAATTTGGCCTAATTCAAGCATTTAGATTAAGTAGTAAGGGAGGAAGCCATTTTTCCTGAGTTATCAGAATTTTTAAGAATACAGCGCCACTTCAATAGGTTTAGTGATACAGCTGATCCTTATGTAAAAAGTGTATTCACACAGTACAGGTCAGATTTTGAAAACTACCATAGCAAGATTCACATGGTGAAATTTCCTAAAACATAATGACATACAAAAGAAAGTTCCCCAAGTATCTCTCTTCTTTGCTAAAATTAAACATAAAATTGAAGAATGAAAAAATGGTCTTGTTCAATATAATCCTCATGTGCACGTCCACGGTCTAGTAAGAGAACCTGCTTAGAGCGGGCAGGTGACTTGCCAGGTGCCACACACGAAGGGCTGTGTGGTTCCCTTTCCCATACTGCACCCGTGGTAATTTCACGAGGACTCTGTTTCCGGTCCCCGTAACAATGTGCTTCCCATGGCACAGGCAAAATCAAGAAAAATGAACAAATGAAGGAAGGTCCCTTCCGGCATGACGGCCGTAACGAACGAGATTTTCTTACCTCGACAGAATCTCCTCCTGCAGTTTCTTCCGTTTTGGGGGTCTTCCTCTTCTTTTTCCTGTTTTTCCAGGAATACTTGCGACGTTTTTTTGTCCTTCACTTTCCCTAATAAATAATATTGAAGAGAAATGTTCTGGCATAGGATTGGCATGCCACATATGATTTTAAAACAGTACTTCTGGCCGTGAGATGACCAGAAAGGATTACATGCAGCAGAGAGAGGAGACTATTGATCGGAACTAACATTTCACAATACTAAAATGTACTTAAGTTCTCGTATCTTCCCAAGACTAAGCACTGCTCCTAGCATCGCAGTAAGAAAGCCTCAAAGCCGGGCGTGGTGGCTCACGCCTATAATTTCAGCACTTTGGGAGGCCGAGGCGGGTGGATCACGAGGTCAAGAGATCGAGACCATCCTGGTCAACATGGTGAAACCCCGTCTCTACTAAAAATACAAAAAATTAGCTGGGCATGGTGGCGCGTGCCTGTAGTCCCAGCTACTCGGGAGGCTGAGGCAGGAGAATTGCCTGAACCCAGGAGGCGGAGGTTGCAGTGAGCCGAGATCACGCCATTGCACTCCAGCCTGGGTAACAAGAGCGAAACTCCGTCTCAATTTAAAAAAAAAAAAAAAAAAAGAAAGAAAGCCTAAATAAGGGGTTAGCATTTTAGGATGCTATGGAAATGTGGCCTCTTCCTTACTTAGTAAAGCGTATGTTTCAGGCATCATTTAAGGTCCTTTTGCTCTTAAACTGATGGATACTAAGGTTCATAAACTAGATCACTGATTCTAGTAGAAACGGGTGTGTCATGGATTGACAGTGAAAGATGAAAGCCGCCAGTGCAGTGAAATGATTGTACTGAGAAGAAACCTGCTGGGTTAAAACAGTCCGTGGAAGGAGGACTGGCATTTCTCAGAAACTCCTCTCAAGAATTTCAGATCAAAAAGTATCTTTAACCCCTCTGGTAGCAGAGAATTAATTCCTTTTTGTTTTTGCATGAAGTATCTTCTTACCATCTCTTTGCCGGCATGCTTAGAGAATTCATTCATTAGAAAAAAGAAACTGTGCTGTAGAATTCCGATGCATTTAATCACATTTTAATACAGTAGCTATCATGCCCTGACATTAAAGAATATACCTGCTCAAAGAGAGTTCTCCGTTGGATTTTCCTTGTCCCGGGTCCTCTTTGTACATTCGTGTTCCATAGAAATACCAGTAGAGTGCCCCAGAATTGTCTTCACCCAATGGCTCCACGCGGAGACTGTCTGCATCCAGACCCTAGGCAGAACAAGAAACGGGGGTTTGGGGAAATGGGAAACAAAAGGCACCAGGAAAAAACTAAAATGAGGATTCTGAATTCAGACTAAGGAACACCTCAAATCTAAAATGCCCAAGTACCTTACATGTAATTTTTGATCGGCGTAAGAAACACAGATACAATCAAAGGGTGGTACCTACGTCGAAGAACAACACATGGCAATACGACAGCGCCCCCCACCATCGTTCCCTTTTCACAAAAGAGAGAACCCAACAGCAGTCTTGATGAGCACTTGACACACTGGCTGGGAGCTGCTGCTGCTGTATGTGAGTACACACAAAAGGCAAGACAAGTACAAGCGGGCAGGTCAGGCGCAGGGCAAGCTTTGCCCACGGGATCCTCTGTGGCAGCCACGCCGTAACCTCCCGCGACCTCTCATTCCAGCTGAGCTCCAGCGACAGGGCTCCCGATTTACCTTGGGGGCTGACCTGCACTGGCCTTCCCGCTGCTATTGAAGTCCCTGAATCCGCAGCAAAGACTGTTCTAAATGACACAGTGAATTTTGTAATGTGTCCATGCACAGAGCTCAACTGAGAAGTCATCACCACATTTAATCACTGATGACGGAACAGGATTAGAAAGCAACGTCTCTACGACTGGAAGCAATAACGCACACCCTCCCTCTAGGATATGCTTCTAAAACAGATGACCGCACCAAGGGGGCGGACAGAGATGGCTACAGCTTCCCTCTTCAACACGTTTTTGTCATGTGGATGTGTGCAGAGGATGAACCTCACTACCATATATGATTTCAAGTTCTCGGAGATTTCAGCAGAAATTTCAATTATATTCAATCCAATTTAGACCTTGGGAAATAAAATTCGGTAGCTAATTTTGTTGCAGGTTTGGCTGACGACAGAACAAACAGGGTCCTCTGGTCATACCTATCGGAGCTGGGACCCAGTGCACGTACAGGAAAAAGAAAGCAGACTAGAAATCAGACCAAAATAAAGTACTTCCATAGGGATGTACATCCGGCATTTCCTTGGCTACAGCCATCACGGTTTTATATACACTGTTATTAGCAATGAAGAACCCCATGCCTGGTACCACAAGCCAAACTCTGGCTTCGTATCTTCGGGTTTTACATTCTGATTGCTGGCTTTTCACAGCTCTAGGGAAACAGCTCTCCAGTTAAGCATTACCTTGAGGAGATCGAAGACGTCGTCTGCATCAAGCCGGTAGTCACAGAGGCGATGCAGGATCTCCACCCGAGTGCGCAGAGGCAGGTCCTGGAAACTGGCTTCCCTCAGAGGGTTGGGCTTCCCTTCCTCCAGCTCCCAGCGGTAGTTGATGATGTCCTCTAGGTAGCTGTGGAATGTCTGAGGCCTAGAACAGGGCCCGAACACAAAAATACATTAATATAAAATATAGGATGGTTGGAAGAAGTGAGGTGGGGGCAGGGGAGAGAGAAGGAGAGACGGAGAGAGGGAACTCGAGATCTGACAGCTGACAGACTTGTTTTTCTTTTAAACATACTGAGTCTTGCTCTGTGATCCAGGCTGGAGCACAGTGGTACGACCTCAGCTCACTGCAGCTCTCCTGGGCCCAGGAGATTCTCCCATCTCAACCTCCCAGGTACCTGGGACCATAGGCATGCACCACCACACCCAGCTAATCTTTGTATTTTCTGTAGAGATGGGGGTCTCCCTATGCTGTCCAGGCTGTTCTCAGACTACTGGGCTCAAACGATCTGCCTGTCTTGGCTTCCCAAAGTGCTGGGATTACAGGTGTGAGGTAACCACGTTTGGCCCAGCTGACAAATTTTACACAGAAAGCAGAAATAAAAAAGTAATAGAAAGCCCCTAATGAAGCTTCTGCCTATATACATGGAGATTGTGTTCTGTCAACTATCAAGGATGAGAAATACATAAAGAAGTTTTTTTATACAACAGGTTGACTTTAAAGCCCAAACAGCATTCTGGTGCAATGGGTAAAAGCATAATATCACATGTGTAGACCATGAAGCTGAGGCCAAAGTCTCACCCTCTATGCGTACGTCTACACAGACATTCTGTGGTTCAGACACACAGGACAAAGTTGGGTTTCTGATTTAGGAGGCAAGAAAACAGAAGAAGAGAAACTCTTAGTTGGCCTAAGCTAATTTATGTTTCATTTTAAGATACAAAGGCGGGAGCGCCTCCAGAATACAAATGTCTACAGTGATGTGCAACTCTGATTTTACATTCTATTACATGAGCTTTAGGGCATGTTACAAAACACTGCATTCTACATTTCCTTTTTCTTTAATTTTTGGTAGAGATGGCGTCTCACCATGTTGTCCAGGCTGGTCTTGAACTCCTGGACTCAAGCAATCCTCCCAAGTCTGTATACTAAAATTTGAAGACAGTTTTTTTATAGAGAACATTTAAGATACCTAGATGGTAATTAAAATATTTTTCTTTGGTAGAGTCTGGCAATCCTATAATTGTATTAATTTTTTTCCCCCATATGGGGGTCTCACTGTATTCCCCAGGCTGGATTCTAACTCCTGAGCTCAAGCAATCCTCCCACCTTGGACTCCAGAGTATCTGGGACTACAAGTGCATCTTACCACACCTAGGTGTAAATGATCTTTTTTTTTTGAGACAAAGTCTCACTCTGTCACCCAGGCTGGAGTGCAGTGGCGCAATCCCAGCTCACTAGAACCTCCACCCCCAGATTCAAGCGATTCTCCTGCCTCAGCACCCCTAGTAGCTGGGACTACGGGCACCCGCCACCATGTCTGGCTGTTTTTTTGTATTTTTAGTAGAGAGGGGGGTTTCGCTGTGTTAGCCAGGATGGTCTCCTGACCTTGTGATCCACCTGCCTTGGCCTCCCAAAGTGCTGGGACTACAGGTGTCAGTCACTGTGCCTGGCTTTTTTTTTTTTTAATTGACTGCTTTTGCAGCCTAGTGTAGGGTGCAATGGCGTGATCTCAGCTCACTGCAACCTCCGCCTCCCAGGTTCAAGTGATTCTCCTGCCTAAGCCTCCTGAGTAGCTGGGATTACAGGCGCCCACCAACATGCCTGGCTAATTTTTGTATTTTTAGTTTCACCACATTGGCCAGGCTAGTCTCGAACTCCTGACCTCAGGTGACCTGCCTGCCTCAGCCTCCCAAAGTACTAAGACTACAGAGGTGAGCCACCACGCCTGGCCATGCATTTTAATTAGTTCCTAAATGAGCCTTGCGTGAAAAAAAAAAAGGGCTGTTTTTGTGAGACGGTGATTTTACATCTCAACTATTAAGAATCAAGATATAATTTACCTCATGTGGCCAGGCGAGGTGCTCACACCTGTAATCCCAGCATTTTGGGAGGCAGAGGCAGGAGGATCATGAAGTCAGTAGGTCAAGACCAGCCTGGCCAATATGGTGAAACCCCATCTCTACTAAAAATACAAAAAATAAGCCGGGCATGGGGAGGTGCGCCTGTAGACTTAGCAGCTCAGGAGGCTGAGACAAGAGAGTTGCTTGAACCCAGAAAGCAGAGGTTATAGTGAGCCGAGATCGCACCACTGTACTCTAGCCAGGGTGACAGAGCAAGACTCAGTAGCAAAAAAAGAAAACTATTAAAAAAAAAAGTTCCTCATGCTTGATGTGAACATTTTTTTTAAATAATAATAAAGAGGCCTAAAGAAGTTATTGGTATCATTTTAAAGTTACGCATGTACCATGATGACTTATAACCTACGGTAGTTATATCTGCAGCAAAGTCAAAGAAAATATTGATGGAAAAAATTAAGGAGGCTTAGGCAGATAAGAAATTAAACAGTTGGATTTTTCTTTCTTTTTTTTTGAGAAGGAGTTTCGCTCTTGTTACCCAGGCTGGAGTGCAATGGCACGATCTCGGCTCACCGCAACCTCCGCCTCCTGGGTTCAGGCAATTCTCCTGCCTCAGCCTCCTGAGTAGCTGGGATTACAGGCACGCGCCACAATGCCCAGCTAATTTTTTGTATTTTTAGTAGAGACGGGGTTTCACCACATTGACCAGGAGGGTCTCGATCCCTTGACCTAGTGATCCACCCGCCTCGGCCTCCCAAAGTGCTGGATTACAGGCGTGAGCCACCGCGCCCGGCCCAGTTTGATTTTTCAGAGAAGAAACGTTTTCCCCTACTACTATCTCGCTGGGGAAAACGCGAGTAGCTTATCAGATGCAGCATGACAGATCAGGGCTTTCACACATTTCCCTGGACTGCAGCATTCACACTCAGGATACCAGCACTGGCCATTCATACCTGCTTGAACCTTGCAGGGTTTGGACTGGTCGCCTCTCCAAAAGTCTGTGAAGTTGCTGCCACCCCTGCAGGAGTGAGGAGCCAGGCAAAGAGGAGTTCAAACTCGCATTAAAATGTAGATAGCGTAGTAATGGTGAATTTGAAAATGAAAAAGGTTTTTATGAAAAAAAAAAAAAACAAAAAAACGACTTTTTTAGTAGCCAGAAGTGTGAAGAAGACAATTATCCTTTGGCAATAAATCTCTTTATCGCATGCTTTCAAGAATTTCTAACGTATACCATGTTTCACAAACACTAGGGTCTGCTTTTTCCTGCAATAAAATAAAACACGGAATCAGTGAAATCTGTATCGTTTCACCAGATAGCAGCTTCACTGTAGGATGTGCAGAAGATGTTGGGCCGGGGAGCCAGACCTTTCTTATTCCAATGTGAGGCTGAGAAAGTACAGGCACAGCCGCGAGACACTGTGTACCCCCAGAGCAGCTCCTTTAGCCTACCATCTGTCTGGAAGCCCTTACTTGTCTCAAAGAATTGCCTGTTTGAGATTCCTTTCCAACAGGCCTACTGTCCTACTCAGTTTAAATTATATCATTTTTGGCCAGGCGCGGTGGCGGCAGTCCAGGAAGCCGAGGCTGTCGGATCACGAGGTGAGGAGTTCAAGGCCATCCTAACCAACATGGTGAAACCCCATCTCTACTTAAAAAAAAAAAAAATTAGCCAGGCGTGGTGGCTCATACGTGTAATCCCAGCTACTCAGGAGGCTGAGGAAGGAGAATCTCTTGAACACAGGAGGCAGAGGTTGTAGGAAGCCGAGGCCTCCCCACTGCACTTCAGCCAGGGTGGCAGAGTAAGACGGACTAAGAACAAAAACCAGTTTTGCTAAAAGCTCTTAAGGCATCTGTCTCCATGCACCTTAAACCGGGAGATGCTGGAGGGCCTACAATCCAAGACAGTTCCATTTCCGTGTATGCAGATCAACCTTCTCCTAGAAATCTACATCTCCTTTTCAACATCAGAAAGTGAATGGGGAAAAAAACCTCCTGAGGGCAAAGGTACAGGCTAAGAGTGATTTGAATAAAAAGGCACCAGGAAGGTAAAAATCAGGCTAATTCTTTTGATTTAGTGGTTCTTCACCTTCTATAGGATAGAAAACACTTTTAAGAATCTGATGCATTGGCCGGGTGCAGTGATTCAAGCATGGCTCTTAATTACCTCTTATTTTCCCAGAGAGAAAGGGAGAGAAAGAGAGAGAGAGAGAGAGAGTGAGAGACAGAGACCGACCTCCGCCTCCTGCCTCAGCCTCGGCCTCCGGGGTTCAAGCGATTCTCCTGCCTCAGCCTCCAGAGTACCTGGGACTACAGGCACCATGCCCAGCTAGTTTTCATATTTTAGTAGCATGAGAAGGCTCTTGAGTTCTTTGAGGCATGTGTTAGGGACATGGAAAGGCAGCCACGGTCTCTCTAGAGCGGATCGATAAAGCTATGGCACCAGGCTTCCCAGAATGGAGATAAGATGAAAACTCGAACTGCCCCTCCCATTTGCAAAGCAAATGAATACATGTACACACAGTGAGGCCACATTTAACACGAGTACTGTTAACTGGACTGAGATAAAGATGCTGGTTCCAGTACGGCAGCAAGTAAAAGACTCTGTAAGAATACTTGATAAAGCGCGTATTCTTGAAGCTTAAAAAAGACCAGGCCAAAATCATGAAGATAACAGTTTTTATCCCGGGCTGTAGAACAGCTACTACAGCCAACAGATTAAAATAAACACGAGAGCCAAGTAAGTTAATATCGTGGTTATTTCAAATTAAAGGAAAATATGATTAAGTGAAAATCAATGTAAAACATTGTGTTTGACTAGAGAAACGTACATAATACAGATTCTTACATGCAGTTATGAATGTTTATGTTGGGTAACCAAGAAAGTGAATAAACCCAACATTTATCTCTAAATTGATAAAGGCTATTTTTTTTTGAGACGGAGTTTCACTCTTGTTACCCAGGCTGGAGTGCAATGGCGCGATCTTGGCTCACTGCAACCTCCACCTCCTGGGTTCAGGCAATTCTCCTGCGTCAGCCTCCCGAGTAGCTGGGATTACAGGCACGCGC